AAAAATCAAAAAAAAAAAAAAAAAAAAAGAAAAAAAAATAAATAGACAACTGCCTTTCCATAACCAAAAGTTGAATTCATTACTTGATATCTTGGTATTTTGTCATAGCAAGCTATTGGGAGGTAACTGTGCCAGGACCAATACAGTTGCAAAAGTAACTGTATGTTAAGAATATGAGAATAAAATTTCAGGAACTGTTTTAAGTCATATTCTCTTTAAGACAAATGAAATGTGGTAATTTAAAAAAAAATTAAAATCAATTTTTCAAGTTTTTTTTTTCTTGGAGATTATTGGTATATAGTGTATATTTAATAAATAAATGACACACATTTGTTGTTCCATTTTCTTAGAACTTTACTGTGTGTTGAAACTGTCTCCCTGTCCAAAACATAACATTGCTGATAATGTTTGTGGGAGTTTGGCTGTCCTTCCAGGATTGTCTCAGTCACAGAATCCCATTTCTTTTCTACGAGAAACTGTTCCCATCACTCTAAATTTCACAATTGAATTACATCTGTCACAATGAGTGTTATAATTAAAAGTGCTACATTCTTAGCCAAAATTTACATTCAACTGTACCTAAATATAGAAGTCCATATTTTAGTAATATTGTGGTTTTCTCCAAAAATGCAAATGACTATTAGGAAATTTTAAATTAAACTTTCTATTTCAAATTCTAAAGTCATAGGTCACTTAGATAATTTTAATTGTCTCTGCCTTTGGTCTAAAATATAAATGCCCTAGAAGCAGTGATATTTTTCTCAAAGATATTTAAAAACATCAAAAATGAACCTCAAGAAAATTAGGTCTCAGCGGTACCCCACTACACCACACATGCTAATAGTATGATTGACTGAGAAAATTAAAATATTTCTTTTAATACAGTATCTTAATCTGGCAATAGATGTAAACTGCTGTGTCATTTAAACTAATCTATATTTATGTAGATTATATTATATATTATATGTATAATACATAATCATATGTATAATATACATTACATTATATAAGGTATAGGTTCACATGATACCTAGTTGCTTATTTGTGTTTCAGAGACACAAAGTACACTGGAAATAATTAGTTGGACACATCATGACTTAAAAAAAAATACATCCTTATACAAAGTCTGTGTGCTTCTGGAAACAAACATATTTAATAGTTGACTCTCCTTACTTGCAGATATGAATAGGTCAAGACCTGGCTTGTGTTTTACCAAATTACAAGGATTTGCTAAGAACAGAGAGTTGCAAAACAGTGAAAGATTGCGTATCAGAGCTCGATATGTACATACTGTAGGATACCTACTCAATCAAAGTTTCATAAATTTAAGTATCTATAGCCATAAAATAAATCCTCAGGGGAACTTCAAATAATTTTTCTCATCTCCAGTTGTACAGACAAAGAAGCTGAGAGGGAGAGATTATTACATGCTGGAAAAGCACTCTTATTTTCAGTGTGTTCAGAGCCCACTATAGATCAGGAGGTGCTGCTTTTTTCCCCATGGAGGTTCTGCAGTATTGTTGTCTGATGGATCAATCAGTTTCCTAAAAGTCAGGGGACAGCTTCATTTTGTGAAGACTGAGCTCCTTTGCCCCATGCAGTCAACAGAAGATAGCACTCCTGGGGCTTTGTACTTACACTTTTGGAGTCTTTATTCCTGTTTATTTACAGTTCTGTAGCTTTAATAAAACTGCATGATTCCTGCCTCACTTCTCCTTTCTTGCTAAATAAGAACAGCTGATATTTATATATAGGTGCATGGTGACTGGGAAAAGTGCAGAGAACTTCATAAGGAAATTTTGCTTGTTGCAGCTTGTAAACTACATTACATACACTGTAGTGCTAGGGATGACATTAATGTGTTGTCTAAAAAGCTGCTGTCAGGCCAACGCACATGCATTTTCCATAATGTATATGTGCTCATGTGTGATATTTAGACTGCTCCATAGCTGCAAATGTGTCTGGAAAAATGGCTTTGATTAATTGACTTCCCTCCTCTTCTCCCTTCCTCTCTTCAAATGCGAAGGCTCCATTCATTATCAGGGAAGATCAGAGGAGGAGGGGAGCAGAGTACCTGGGTCACACGCTGTTAGAGTTACAATTTTCCAAGTGCCATAAGTAAACAGTAGGGAACAGGAAATATCCAGGGTGGGAGAGGACCTCTTTTTTTGAAGGTCCTCCTCCATTCCAAATGTTTGGTCTGATTTTATCTTTAGCTGAGCAAATGTGCATCTCCATTGTATATACATGTAATCCTTGTCACGTCTTCAACTCTGTCTGCCTTTTTTGTATGTCATATTTTCAGCCCTGCAGGTATGAGGAACCATGAGCACTGATGCACTGACTGAGGGCTATTCTTTCCAGTGTTCCTTGTCCATTTGTTCCTTTTTCTTAGGAAATTAGCACCCCTAAGGAATCACAGATACTTACATCATTCTAAAGCCAAAACTCATACTTCACTACATCAACTGACAATTTCCTTCACTTTTTTTTTTGTATTTATACTTATATGAATGGTTCCCTCCTTTTGACGCCTCTGTGCTGATAGGGGTTTATTTCTGCTAAATTTCATGTATGCTCACGGTATTTGTGCCACGCATAATTTATCCATAAAATCAGAATTTTGCACAAGGAGAATATTGCTAGTCAAAACTCAAAAGTTTGGCCCCATCTTTATTCATCATATTTTGCTTCTTCAGTTTAACATTATTACTGGTTAATAGGTGCACCTGAAAATCAAGCTGTATTGTAGTACCTGGTGCGTTATGTTAAATGAATCTTTTCTAGGACAGCAAGTCTCTTTTTTTTCTCCTAATGAAAAAGAATACCTCATCTTTTCCAATTTTCCTATCAAACACATCCACATCATCTCGAGACACTGCCACATCCAGCTGCATCTATACTCAACCTCAATTACATGAAATTACACAACCTACTCTCAGGTCCTTTAGGTTCTCTTTTGCTATGTGAGGCACACGCATAGTGCATTTCCTGTGAAGTGCATGATTACAAACTATTCAGTACAAGCCTGTTTTAAGTAAACAGTAAATTAAATATTGTCAGTGCTTGTTCAGACGTGCTGTTACGAAGGAAAAAGAACTTCTGGATTTGGGTTCATAAAACTCTAGATTTAAGAAAGGTCTAGACATAAACTAGGCATCCTTTTTCCTTTTTAACTTCTCTTGGCTGACCCAATTGTTAAATAGCGGGCTCAAAATGATATATTCAGATGCCCATACGAGGAAAATTGGGCTAGACAAAATGCTGAAGGTAGCAAAATTCCTGTTTATTGCTCTTATTTGAATGGAGAATTTTCAAAATCATTTTGTCGCTAACTGTCAGGTACACTGCTGCCTGAAAGACTGTCAAGAGTCTGTCTGAGCAACATGCCTCTTTCAACCATGACAAATACAGTAAAAGAACATCATTTTATTACAATTCTGGCAATATTATTTTCTGCTACGCCAATCAGCCTGACTACAGGAGTTAGGAAAGAAGGGAAATGGTTGCTTCCCTAAGAAATGAGAGCTTTTGAGTATTTTGTGATGTCTGCTACTTCAGTACTAGCATGGTCACTAGTATTTGGAGAAGTATAAATAAGTTTTATAAAAACCAGTAGCTACAAATGTGCACTTGCAAAATCTCCTTTCATCTCTGCCAGTTAAGTCATTCCCAAGAGAAGGCAAAACTCGCTTCTTCCAAGGGGTCAAATATTGTTTTCATTCATTCCGTAGACATTTCAAAGACAACAAGAGTTGCATATGTGTGTTCAGGGCTGCACATGATTTATGATTAAATACAGCAAGTACCCCTTTCTTTATTGTATTTTGTTTCTCTTTCTTACACACAAGTATGAGTGAGAAGCTCTGGCAAATATTTTGCAAATTTATCCAAGTTAGCAGTGGTGTATGAAATGTCATAACATGTTCCCAGTTCCTCTCTCTATTACTAGACTTTAATGCAATTTGTAAAAAATAAATTTAAAAAAAGAAACAAAATATTTTAATCACTGTTAAAGCAGGGATCCTTTGTAAACTAGTAAAAATATTAGTGCAAAAAAGGATGAAAAATACTTGCTTTGCAAATTAAGAATGCAGAGATCTAAAGCAGTCTGATTTGTTCTTTGAAAATGGATATGAGAGTTAACTCAGAAACACAATATTAATAGATTTGTATGAGTGCACATAAGGCCAATATATTCAATGCTGTAATTTTTTTATGGTTTCATAAATAGTGCTATCACCAACATTTCAAAGAAATCGGAAAAAAACAGAGCTCATATGTGGTGGCATAAATTTAGTGTATTTTATAGAACACTGTTACACCAGATATAGCCTACGGGTTGTGACTTTTCATAAAACCTAATGAATTTCTAGATTTGTCAGCTGTTTCAACAGAGATGCACTTTGCTGATCTAATGGAAACATTTTGAGCCCAGATCCAAAATATCAATAGCTTTTAGTATCACAAATAAGTTTGGCTATTGGGTAAATGGGGATGTGGTTCTTGATAAAAAGCAGCAAGTAATTTTGTACGTGTGTTTTATGATAACTGCCTCTCCAATGTCTGATACTCAGGTTTCTTGTGTCTCTTTTTTTTTTCTTTTCTTTTTTTGCAGAGTTTTAAGTTGAATGTAGATAGCCACTGTGCTTTAAAAGAAGCAGTGGTAGAAGAAGGACGTCAACTTCTTGAGCTTATTGTATCTCACAAATCAGGTAAATCCTTCTGAAATATTGCAAGTCTTTATGTCTCCAGACTATTAAAGAATGAAGAAGCATTGCTGTAAATTACTGCATATATTCACTTCCTTATGTATTATTAATATTTACATTATCAGATTGACCTTCAAGATTTATAAATGTTTCATATACTGCATACAATGCAGTGATACTTATAAAATGAAATACTGCCTGCAAATAGTCTGTTCATTTTATTTTGGTCTTGCTGCTCAGCTGAGTTTCAATTGAAATCACATCACTGAAAACTTCACACTGACACATTCTTTGATGTAGGTGCTATGGAAATAACATTAAGATAATGAATTAGGATTTCAAATATATATGTATTTTTACATACTCTGCATAGGTAATTGCATTGGTAAGGCTTTATTTTGCCGCTTAAACTAATTCTTACATCAATTTTAATATATTTATGAGGCATAGATTAAAATTAAAAATACCTTTTTCCTTTAGTTAGGCTTGTCTTTTTCTGCAGGCCTTAAATCGAGAGGAGGGGGAGAGATATACTGATTTTCCTTTCTCTATCCCCACCACCCCCTACATTTTTAGATGTTTGCGTGACTTGTATAATAATAGGGTTTTAATCAGCATATACTGCTATGGAATGCCATCTTAATTTTGGCCTACTTAACATGCTTTTTATCCAGGTTGAAGTTATCTGTTGGTCTACTGTTTTCTGATCATGTTATACATTGTGCCTCTATTGTTTCACAGCGTCAGACAGATCTGTGTAATGTGAAAGCTATAGGAAATTAGTAACTTCTATGTATAGTTCCAAAAAGGTATAGAAGCCATAGCAGAGAAGGGTAGTGCATGTCATCATATACTTAGAAAATGGTAATGTGTAAACTACAGAAAATATTTACAGGAGTTGGAGGTCAGAAAAATGTATTTGGAAGATTATGAAATGTTTTGAGATAAAGACTAGGTATTAGAGGGTGAGATTACCATAGTGTTCCCTACTGCACAGAAATCACAGTTTATGTGGAATTTTCCTTTTCTTGAAATTGTCAGCTGAAACATAATCAAAATTTAACATAATGGCTAAAAGAAATGTTTTGACCCTATAGCATTGTTTTGCAGAATGAACAATAGTAATGCTTGGATTTATTGCTGAGAAAATAATTAAAATTCTTGTTGCATTTATTCTTTTAAATATCCTGCTAATTCTTTGAATTAATAATAATATTTAAAGGTGCAGTTGAGTTTACAGCTTTTACTTTTTTCCCTTCATTTTGGAGAAGGACTGAAGGACATGCTGCAGATGATTGCAAGTCAATGGAAGGAACTACAGAGACAAATCAAACGGCAACACAGCTGGATTCTTAGGGCTCTGGATATCATCAAAGCAGAGATACTGGCTACTGATGTGTCTGCAGAGAATGAGGAAGGGACTGGGAGCCCTAAGGTAAGTGGCTTGAAGTTTGCCTTATTTCCTCTTATTTCCGTCTTCTTTTGAACTAGGCACCACTGAAGTTTTCTTTCCACCCTAAGGCTTTTCATTTCTACTGGGTAAACTTTTTTTTTTATATAAACAAAATGAAATGCCTTACTCTGAAACAATAAAAAATCTTAGAACTTTCAAGTTTTCCAGGAAGACCTGTCTCATTGTATGTAGAGGGGCATGAGGGGGAACATAAAACATTTAGTAAACAAAACATAAAGCATCTTTAACATGAATAATCAGAATGGTTTTAAATTGTTTTGTTGCAACTATAAATCACTATAATCAGTGCAATCACTCAGCTCTGACATCCATTAGCCGCTTGGTTACAGCAAATTAACAAAGAAGAGAGAAAGTGATTCATTATCTCATTCCTGTTAATGACTATCAGATGCATTGCTTAATTAGGGGATGGCCATTGTAGTGGGAAGAAGGTCATATGCCTTTTCACAAATCTTTTTGCTCTGAGTTTAAGTCCTCCATAATAGTGCATGTGTTGAATACAAGTACTTTAAGAATAAGGTATTGACACCTATCATCATTTTCTGGATATTAATTATTAAAGAGGGCTATAGTACTTACCAGTTGCCAAACTTGATACTTGTAAGAGCATTTTAAATACTAAACATGCTTATTCAAATTGGTGCAAGCAGTGTAGGGACACTACACACAATAGAAACTTCTGGCATAGGGTCCATAACCTTTCATTACCATCAGTAGTAAGCAGAGGTGGTTGGGGGGAGGGTGCATTGGAAAGTGCTGATTTTTCCAATGCGTTCTAAGCAAAGAATACGCAGCAGAGCAATCCAATAACTCTTAACATCTTGGCATGCAGCAGGTTGGAATTTATAGAAAAATTCAAGATTCCTGTTTCTAGAAATAACAGAGATGGTTGTACTGAGTAGATTTTCAGATTCTGATGCCAGACAATTCTTTGCATTGATATTCAGTGCTTCCTAGAGAGTAGTTTGTAGAGTGACTCTTGGCTAGGATTACGTGAAATGTTCTGGTGTTTTCTTACCATAATTCTACATAGCAAGAATGATCTTAGAGGTGATGGAGGAAGAGCCAAGGATAACAATGAAACAAAGGTACAGGAAAAGACCTATATGCAGGAGACACAATTTGAACTGATATCCCTCATCACATGCACGGTGGAAAATGCTCCTGTGCCGCATAGCTCTTACTTTAGGAAGTAGGTGGTGGAGCAACACTTGGTTTCATAGTTAGGTCTGTTAAAGTAAACGGACTAGCTCAAAGTTAAGTTTCTACCCCTCCAATAATGTGACCCTATATCTCTGAACAGCTTGACTCATCCATGGCCAAAAGTCTAACTGCTTAATCAGAATTATCACATAGAAAGTGTTCTAAAATCCAGTTTGATTTTGCTATGAAAATGATGGAATCCCTAGCTTGGAATAATTATATTCAAATATTTGCTTGAAAAGGGAGAAATGGAGGCATGGTTTATGTTGTAGTAAATTTTTCATATAGATAGGTGGGGTAGCTCCTTGCCCTGTGTTTTTATCATAGAGATAGGAATCTGAAGCAATGGGTTTTTTGTTCCTACAGTTAAATAAGAACACAAGCAGACAAAAATGACCAAACAAAAAGTATTTTCAGGTTATTTCATTCATTAAGTCACATCCCTATATGATCCTTCTAAGTATGGGCAATAGTGCAGTCTAATACCAGCTACTTCTTCATGCTGAAAGATTAACTAAAATTAAAATACAGTTGGTAATGTAACTGTAGATTTCAGTTTGCATTTATTTCAAAAGCCAAAAGGAACCTGAGAAGTATAATAGGAAATCTAAAGATTATATCTAGAGGGTATTTTACTTTTTGCCTTGTTTGAGAAACTACAGGAACAGTGTTGGTGTTAGAAATCTGTAAAGAAATAGGAAAAGGAGGAATTTCAAAGACCCTAGGAAACTTTTCCCTTAGGACTTTGTAAACATGTTTTCATAGCGCTATGGCATATTTTATGCAAGCAATGGAGAGCGGAAGGGAGAGGGACATTCTGCACTCTAGAAATACATTGTCAAAATTTGTATTCAAGAATTCAGATTTTGCTTATCAAATTTTTCATTTTATTGTATATAAGTTTCATAGAGGTTTATAGTGATTGCTACAGAAGACTTAAGGGATTTTAAATATTTCTGATGCCCAAGCTCTTCTAATGTATTGCATTCTCTGTACAAACTTAGAAGAACAAGGAGATCTCTTCTTTAAGTAAGTATTTGTTAAACTATTATTCTGTCATTTTTATAAATAAACAAATGTTGACTGTATTCAGCTTAAATTGAGGGATATAAGGTTTTGCCTTCTTACCCCATTGAGAAGTACCTTTAAAAATAAATTTCAGAATTGCCATGATACATTCCGACAAGTACTGATCTAACGTTATGAGTAGTAAACATGACATATAATGCATCTGACTTTCTTTCACTTAACTAACAGTAGGGTTTTTCTGCTGATGGAAATACTAAATAATGTTTTAAAATATCTGGCAAATAAGAGGAATGTTTGCATATACATGTGTATCCTGTGTTTTTTCACATTCTGGAGATGTCCGAGACCACTTGTTTTGTAATTGATCTCTATAATTGGGCCACTTCTTCTCCATCAGGAAAAGCCTACTGGAACAGTACTGCTTCGAATAAACAGTAGAGAGTGGTATTGAAAAATAACATGATGTACTTTATTATCTAGTGGCTGTGAGTGTTACTGCCTGAATATTACCCTGATATATTTAACTCATAGTTCGGTGGAAAAGTTCA